TCAATCAAGCCTTGCACCCAGCCTGCCGCACTATCTAGTTACCCAGGAGACAAATACATAGACAGTCCTGTCCCCACTGATGAGTACCCAGGTCGGCCGAAGGAATTCGCTTTCTACCATGGCTACGCGAGTGCCTACCAACCAATGCCCAGCTATCTGGACGTTTCCGTGGTCCAAACTATCAGTGGCGCGGGAGAGCCGAGGCACGAAGCATTGTTGCCTATGGAAGGCTACCAGCCCTGGACCCTTAGTGGGTGGAATAGTCAGATGTGCTGCTCTAAGGAACAAGCACAATCAGGACACCTCTGGAAATCCACTCTGGCCGGTAACAGATTATTGTTGCATTCCTTCAGAGAAGAATGAACCATTCCAAACATTACATATTTAATTAGATTAGAATCATCACGGTTTTATGCAGTTCTAAAGCGACAATGTGCTGCAATTTAGAACAGGTTTGAAAAAAATACAATTATATTTTATGCTTGCAGTGCAAGGAACTCAGTTAGAATATCATCAGTTTCAGGGATGTGCTTTTGTTGTACACCCTGGTATGTTAATACATTTGTTGCAGAATTAGCTCCGCAGGGCTCATTGCCACATGTACTAAGTTGTGTATATTCCTTAAAGATTCTGAAAATCCTTGGTCATTAGTATGTCTTAAATTAATTTGTCTATTATTTTCAATGTTGCATTTTTTCTGATATTCTTTTCTGTGCTTTTTTGGCGGGGCGTGTCTGGTTACACACAGCAGATGTTGCAGCTCACCAACAGGATGGAAGTTCCTTTCGGCGCGGGAGGAAGAAAAGGATTCCTTACACCAAAGTCCAACTCAAAGAACTGGAGAGAGAATATGCGACAAATAAATTCATCACGAAAGATAAGAGGAGGAAGATCTCGGCGGCCACGAACCTGAGCGAAAGGCAGATCACCATCTGGTTTCAAAACAGGAGAGTGAAGGAAAAGAAAGTCATCGCGAAAGTAAAAAGCAACACACCTTAGTTATTACTTTTTTTTTAATTAAAAAAAAGATAATTGAAACTGTTCAATTGGGGAAATTTATCACAACGGTGCGAAAGACGATTTTGACAGACCGGGTTTAAATGCACACTTATTTCATGGAGCCTTGCCTGCAGAATGCTAACATGTCCTCCTGCTTTTCATATTGTAATGGAGGAGGTGATATGGAATGCCATTAAAATGGACTAAAATAGATGGTCAGAATGTACATTTAATTATAACAACGCTGTAACCATACCGACATCACTGTTTATTATCAGTTATGTTTTAGTGGAGGTATGTAACGTATGTCTTACTGGTGTAGATGCTAATTTTATGTTTTGTTTGGGTTACATATTAAACTGTCGAGTTTCGGCAATGATTGCAGTAAAACCGCCTGAAAGCTGTTTATAATCTCAAAGGCTTGAGAGAAAATGTTATTAATAAGAAAAATAGGGTTGAAAGTTGACCGCATTAGTTTTGTTGCATAATATTTTTCAGGGAATGTGCAAACATTCCATATCCATCTAATGATAGGAGCAATGGCCCTTTGGTATATAACATATTTCCTATAATATATGAGAAACCAATGAAGTGATATTGTTGCTGATTTATAATGTTCCTCATCTCAATGAGATAAGGAACAGTTCTCAAGTAAACCTGAAGTTGTATGATACATCTACTGCTTTATCTTTTCAAAATATATAAATCAGTTTCAACTATGTCAACTTGATTTTAAAAGGATAAATAGACTCTCGTTGTCGTTCGCGCTTGGCAGTTACGATAGATTTTTTATTTAATGTGATGATGAGATCATAAAACAAGCGTTGAAAAATTGTAACTGAAGCAAAGCTTACCTTCTGGAAGGGTGCAGTGCTATATTAATAGATATAAAATCAGTAAATGCGTTCCCTTTACAATTAAAGTAATTTCGTATAATTTATTTAAATATTATAAATAAAATTGGACGAAATAGGTGCGTATCCAGACAACTCGCTGCTTTTGTAAAAAAGAAAATGAAAGAAAGAAAAACAGAAATTGATGGAGAAACACTCTCCAGCATTTCCTGTTTTTGTTTTAAATTTCCAGCACCCGCTGTTTTTTGTTTTATTTGAACGAAAGAAAGACATCGGCAAACTGTTCTGGCTGTAGCCGGGCGCTATCACACAAATAAACTGATTCTTTTTGGACTTCACACTTTCAATCGCATCTGGCTTAAACATCAATTGAAGGCTAATAAACACTTTGCTACAGACCCCCTCAAGCCCCTACCGTCATCATGTTTTGGTCTCATGTTCATATATTCTACCGTGACATCAAATTAAATAAGAAAATGTCGCCGGTTTTTCAGACCACTGATCATTAGTATTTAGGGCACAAGCCAGTGAATTGCTTCCTGCAAATGAAATTCAATTAAGGAATTAATTGTCTAGAGAAAGCTGCCACTTTACTGAACCAGGCTAATCGGTTTTGTGGTTTAAGGTTAGGGAATCACCTGTGTAAGTTTAATGATTTCGAAGTACATAGGTTCTTGGTGATTTAAGGGTACATGAACTGCATGTTGACTATGGATTTACCTATGTTGGGGTTGTGCTTCTTGGAGTGCAGGAATTGGGATAAGGAGAGGTTCGACGTTGCTAAGGTCGATTGTAAGCAAGTATCAACGACAACCTGCTACCATCTTTGGGGACTCAGATCCAATCAATTCGATAAGCTTTTGACTTTGACCTTCACAATCACGTGCTTGTTCGCCAATGGTCTTGACATGTAGTTGCTCATGAATAATCGAACGGTTTTTGGTGGGCTAATCTGACTGTGTTATCATGAGTAGAACAAGTCTGCCACCTTCTGGCCAGTCGCTTCGTAACATGAGCACGGCCCCGCTATTTGCAACCTTTGTTTGAACAAACGGAATGAATTTAAAGAGAGTTCATACAAAAATAGTTCAAAATAAATAGAATTTAAAAAAAGATTAACGAAAACAAGATGTAATATTTGCCGACGGCGCTTTCCGTTCAAGTTTTGTTTATATGGTTGAGGATGTTGCCCATTCAAATATTCAAAGAACCAGTGCGAGGACAACCTCCCTTCTCACACACGAACACGTGTGCCTGTGTGCACAAACGTACAGGCGGACGCTGAAACACACACATACAACCCCAGATACAAAGACAGTCAGTCGGACACTCAAATATCAGTCTGTGCTTGTACGTGGAATTGGTAACACTATTGTATCAAATATTTACTTTGCAAATAATAGTGCAGATTTTTCAAATTTAGCAAATGGGAAATACATAAAAGAATAACTCCGAAGACTCCAAGCAATTTTGAATCTAATGAGAAATCCCTAAAGCAGCTTTGTGAACACGTGAACTACGGGCAAACTGATCGAAGTGTTTGCGTCTCTCATGCCATTTTAAACCATAAGGCGCAAAGTCGTGTAAATTCTACTGTTGAAAATAAATTGTGCTTTTGCCACAACTGTAAATCCGCACACACATGCAATCATGGTTTTAATAATATCAAGTTTAAATAATGCCAAAGGGGAAATTAATGCAAGACGTTAAAAACAAAAGATATCTGAAACCATCTAGCACCAGAGACGTTTCCACTTCAGTCAATTATCATCATAAATACAATTAGATCCGTTTCACCACCAGGCCGGGACACGCTAAAGAAACTGCTCAAAAGCAAATAAAGAAAATGTAATTGTGTACTATGTTTAGAAATAACTATATCTGTTTTATGGCTGTCTGTAACCGGGGTTAACTGTACTAGTACAGGCTAATATATCAAGTCCAACTTTCCTAGTACAACATTAACTGTGTCATCAACAGAAGTAATTGACACATTATTGAGATTACTGAATTTGTAACGTTAAAAAATATGCTTTTATCAGGATAGTTCCAAGAATGTATTCATTCTACAGTTTACTCAGTGTATTTGTGAATGCTCACACACATTAAGAACAGGGAAGATCTAATTCTACCTAACCTGGCTTACTCAGTTTAGCCTTGAAAGCATTAATCCAAAACTAGACATATGTAGGGATCTTAAAAGCGACCTGAAGTGCTAAATTGCTGGAGAATAAAATGGTTTGAGTGTCGCTTCGTTCAGCTTTAATGTGCATCAATAACCTTTATTTAATTCTTACGAGTTTTATCCATTACAGTCTATTAAATACACAAATCAATCTGTGGTAGTAAAACATACTTATAAACATATGAAACTACTATCCATGCCCTAAGCGTTCAAATGATATCATTAAGTGCTAAAAGCAAACTTGCTATTTATTTCTATTTCAGCACTGTTTTAAGCTATAATTAATTCTCTCATAGACACACTTGGTAGATATGATGCTCATAAATGATGATTATGTACATATTTATGTATGTCTTGCTGTACATAGCCGTTATGTGTGCACATGCATCCCGTAAATATTCAAAGCTGCATAAGTTTATCATAAGACAGATGGTAGAGAACACGTGTAAATACTTATTCACACTTAGGAACTTTTATACATAATGTTAGATTAAATTGACACGCTATAGACCGTCTGTGTGATGTTTTATAGAGGTCCGGTTACAAGTTATTTAAAAATCCTATGCATTAGTGTCAAATTTCTGCATAATCGGCCAACTTCGTAAAACTGAAAAGGGGTTTCCAAAATGTCTGAAAATGTGTTTGTGGCTGCCTGGCTAGAGGCAGTCAGAAAGAAAATAAATAACGTTATTCAAGTGAAGCTAAGAATTAGGAATTTTACACGAAGCAATGGGACCTTACTGTTCTCTCCGCGATATTTTTGACTACTACTGGCTGCGGACAAAATAGCAAAAATCGAGAGGGATAAGCCGCTCACCACCATCACACAATTCACATTTAGTGAATGTCGTGACTAGGTTTCATTAAATCTTTGCACAATTAACTACGATATTTTAGTTATAATCATTTGACCAGTTAAAGTTGGCTCCCTCTCAAATGCTTTTAGCAACTTTAATGGGTTGCTCTGATTTCAGTGGAATTGCGGCAGAGTTCATTTTTTTGTATATTGTGCGCCTTCGAATGTGTTAGTGAAGCTTGCGAAGCAATTTCAAGTCTTTGTAACTATCACATGACATCAAACAGCCAACCAAATAATAGCAATGTGAGTTCGCCGCTAACCGTGTGTAAATTTTATTAAAACATTAAAGAAGTCAAAATTGCATCCAGGTGATTTACATTTACTTAGCGGGATCAGTTCTAATCCTGGTTGCAAAATAATGATATTTCTCGTGAAAACCCATTTGGAAACCCCAGAAGTGAGTCAAGTTCAAGTGCGCCAATTGCTAATTGAGGCTTTATTTTTTTTCTCGCTTTTGCAAACGCGCCCAAACGTCAGATTTCCCACAGTCAGAATAAGAAAACAACTCAAAATGGAAAAGACCAAACCACGTAGATCAGAAATTGTATTCTTTCTCTAATTTGCAATTTCTCATTTAGAGGGGGAGGGGCGTGGGGGCCTATTGCGCTAATGGAGGTTGGTAGAAATCCAAGTTCAATTGCAATGAATGTAATTAAGTCGAGGAGTGTTTGCAGTTCGTGCCAGCCATTGCTTTGTGTCCAGCTCTGACCTTGCAGTTGAACTTGAAAGGCAAGGTCAACAATCAGACGGAGCGCCGCGGCCCCGACAACGGTCTGGTCTCGAAAAGAACATAAAGTCCTCTGGCTAATACAGTAAGTACTCCTATCCAGGCGATAGATTGATAAGATGCACGTTTTAAGATAAGTTCTAAATTAATGAGGGGGAAATAAAACAAAGCGTTGCGCTAACAAGGTCGTAACATGTTCTGTTGAATCTAAATGAATAAAGAACGGTGAAGGCTGGAAGGGATGTTGCAATTTCTTCTATTCCTTTGGATTAAAGCGTAACTCTACCGTACGCATTAAAGCTTGTTGCAATAGAACGTTTGCGCTATGCGATTGATAATAAGCCACCAGCAAATCGCCGGTCTGACTTTTACTGAATTCTTGATTGGATTCTGTGTTGCGCAGTTACCGGCGGTAAAAGGAACGTTCTAGAGGCAGAAGTAAAAAGACAAGCGGGCCAAGGCTTACACAGTGTTTTCAATCGAACAAAACGTGCTAAAGTGCAATCCTGGTCTCCCTTTGGCTATTAAGTTGCATAGAATGTGTGATACTGCAGTTAAGATAGAATTTGCTGCATTTTAAGCTCTCGTGGGCCACGCTTATAAAAATCTAAAAGCAAAATCTTGGCCTTCCGTGATTTCTTTGTGACGCAATCCCTGTTGTTTTCACAAATGGTTGTAACACTTTAAGCTTTTATTTGTCACAGCCATCCGGTCATACATTTGTCAATTCGCCCCAGACGGAAAATAACTCAATTAACGAATTGTAAAGAAAAAAAACACCTATTTGATGAAAGTGTATTAACGTTCAATCCGAGATTAATTTAGCTTAATGTATTTATTAATTCAAAAATATTGAAATTCCTTCACAATAGTCATTATACTCAAATTAAAGGGAAATGTGGCTTGAAGAGAA